CTTGGAAGATGGCCCATAATTCTGCCGTGAATACTGAGGAATTGTTGAGAAGTCTGAACTGTCCTGAAAAGTTCCTATTTTTGTGGAAAAATGCGCTCCCTGTATTATTGTTTAAAACAGATCCATCTGTGAAGATATGTTCTGTATTAGGCCAATTTTTGTTTATATATTCTAATATAAGTGACTTCAATATTAAGGGATCTTTTGTATTATATTCTTTAATTTTAATATTCAATCTAATTTGGAACATTTTTTCAGTTACTTGAAAATATGGCAGCACTGCAGAAGAATATATATTATCTTTTAAATCCATTAACCAAGAATAGCTATCAACTAATAAGGGTGTTTTCTTGACTCTCCAGTATTGCTTTGTGAGACTATATATAAATAATTGATGAACCTTATCGACTATTTCACTTTTTTTGCTAATAAGTTTGACTAAAAGTTTATCTGTGAGACAATTTCTTCTGAGTTTAAGTGGTGGTTCCGATGTTTCAGCTTCAATAACGTTTATAGGTGTACTTTTAAGGTATCCCATGCACAATCTTAAGCATTTATTTTTGATTAATTCTATTTTATTAAGATGCACTTGAGCTGCTGAACCATAAAATTGACTACCGTAATCCAATATGGATCGTACATAGGACTTGTAGAAAATTAAAGCAATGTTAGGATCCGCTCCCCATCTCTGGTGAGTGAAAACCCTCAGCAAGTTGATACCATTTTCGGCCCTCTTAATGAGATTATGGATATGGTCCTTCCACAATAATTTTTTGTCTAAAAGGACTCCCAGATACCTTACTGTGTTTTTATAAGGAATTGGAGTATTATCCAATATTTTTATGGAGGATGGTAAGTTTGTTCTTTTCCTTGTGAAAGTACATAAAACAGTTTTCTCCAATGAAATTGTCAGTCCATTTTCTATTAGCCAAGAGTTTATCCTAGTTGTGATTTGCCCTATTTTTTCGTTGCAAGCATCAATTGTATTGTTTTTTGTATATATACAAATGTCATCAGCAAATTGAAGCATCTTGGTGTTTTCGTCCAATAAAAGCTCCAGGTCGTACGTGTATATTATGTACAGTAGGGGACTCAATATTCCTCCTTGGGGAAGTCCGAGTCTTGCAATTCGAGGTTCCGATAAACCTTCTTGGGTTCGTATGAACAGGGAACGTGAGCTGTATAGTGAGATTATGTTTTTTACTATTTTTGATGAAATCCCCATATCTAGCATTTTTTTTTTCAATATGTCGTAAATGACACCATCATAAGCGCCCTTAATGTCTAAAAAAATAGCTGATGTGCTCTGATTTTCGGTAAACCCGATCTGAATGTCCGTGATTAAGTTGGCCAGAGTCTCTTGAACAGAATGGCCTCTTCTGAAACCAAACTGCGTTTTTGGAAATTTTCCTCGTTTCTCCATCCAGAATTCCAGTCGATTTTTGATAATCCTTTCATAGGTTTTCAATAAGCATGACGCTAAGGCTATAGGTCGATATGATGTGGCCGAATATGGTGGCTTTCCTGGTTTTGGAATTGGGCTGATTATGTATTCCGTCCATTCGTCTGGTATTTTTTCTTTGGAGTTGAATATATCATTAAAAATCTCCAGAAGGATTTTTTTAACGCTTTCAGGTAACTTTCCCAGCATAGAGTATTCAATGTTGTCCTTGCCAGGCGCTGTATTGTTGTTATTTTTTAATACTTTATTAAGTTCCTGAAGGTGAAAATTTTTATTTAAGTATGTAACTTCATTTTCAGGTTCTTCTGAGTTTGGTATATTTTCTACGTAACATGGTGCCAAGTTTCTACTAAATTCTTCTACCCAAGGGTCGTCTAACGAGGAAGGAATTTTATTTCCTTGTTGTCTGTTTTTATAGCAATTCACTTTTTTCCAAATGTCCTTGATTGGTGTGTTTTTATTCAATGAGGAGCAATATTCCCGCCAGTTTTTTCTTTTTTCTTCTTTTAGAACTCTTTTGGCTATTGCGTCACTTTTTTTATATCGGATGAGGTTGACAATTGTTGGATCCCTTTTGTATTCAACAAATTTTTCCTTTCTTTCCTTTACAATGTCACTACATTTTTGATTCCACCAAATTTTACCTCCTTTTTTCTTATTCCTATTTTTTGATGTCACTGGAACAGATTGCTCAAGTGTTTTGTTTAATTTTAAAACGAACTCGGAGTAGCTTATATTGGCAACAGTGTTAAAATTTGTAAGACATTCTAAGTAAAATGTATCCCAATCTGCTTTTTTTGTATTCCATTTTTTAGTTATATTTTTAGGAACAGATTTTGCTGAGACCCTACAAGTCATGACAATTGGCAGGTGATCGGAACCGTATGTGTCATTCAATGTTTTCCACTGCATTAATGGCTGCAAGCATGGAGATACCAAGCTTAGATCAACTGCTGTATTATTACCATTTGGGCTTATTCGTGTAGGACTACCATCATTTAAATAAACAATGTTGTTAGAGTCTAAAGAGTCCAACAGAATTTTTCCATATATGTCGTTACTAGTAGGTCCCCATGCTTCATGGTGAGCATTGAAATCCCCTCCAATCAAAAATGGTTTATTAAAGAATTTAAAAAAATTATTCCATGTTTGAAGGCTGACTTTTGTTTGTGGTTTTACATAAATAGATATTAACGTTAAATCATTATCATCTCTAAGTTTAATTCTAATGCCTATGTAAAAAATATTATCAAAATTTGGTCCTAACATATCAGTAAATTTTATATTTTGTTTTATTAATATCGCTACTCCACCATAACCGTCCTGCCTGTCCTTTCGGACCACATTATATCCTGAAAAGGCAACATATTTGTCTTGTTTAAACCAGGTTTCTGATAGAATAGCAATATGTACATTGTTTTCCGCTAACATATTTTCCAAATTGACTTTATTAGATATTGCCGAGTGGCAATTCCATTGACAAATATTGATTTCATCCATAGCCATTTCTTTCTAAAAATTTAAAGTTTTTTTTTTTTTTTTCCCCTTTCTTTCTTTTTTTTTTTATTTACTTGTTTAGCTTAACTGACTTTCTATAAGGTTGAATAAATCTGATTTGTTGATATCTAAACAATTTTTTTCTTTTAATATATTTATAATTGAAAAAATTAAATTGGTCATTGATTTCATATTGTTGTCGTTTACAAGGTTGTAATTATTTTTATCTGAATTGTTACTGTGATTATTTGTTCCCGAAATACCTGCTTTGTAAATAGGGTTTTCTAGAACCGGGGCTGAATTTTGAGTTATATGAAACTGCGAAAGAATCCTATTATGTTCCTGAATTGTAGGATTCGGAGAAGATGGTCTACCTCTTTTTTGTGGTAGTTTACTAATTGAGTATTTATTTGATTCTCTCTGATTCATTGCCCGTTTATTTGATGTATCCCCATTAAAAATAAAATCGATGTCTCTGAGATCAACATCATTCCCCTGAGTTAAGACTGAAGCGTAGGTTTTTCTTGGGAATTGTTTTTCCGCTTCTTTGTATGAAATGGTTTGTTCTGCCATTGCTTTTTTTACTTGTTTTTGACGCGTGAATTCCGAACACTCTCTAATGGAATTCGTTGAATGATTTCCATTGCAATAAAAACACTCAATTTCTTTGCTTTCTGAACATTCCTCCATTTTGTGATTGCCTTTACATTTAAGACACCTTGCTTGACTTCTACATTGTTTTCCTGAGTGCCCGTATCTAAAGCAGTTAAAACAAAGAATTACCCTTTGTATATATGTATTCACCACAATCCTCACGTGACCCATTGCTACATATTTTGGCAAGCTTTGCGCGCGAAATGTTATGATTACTGATTTAGTATTAACGATTTTTTTTTCTTTTGTTTCTTTATCTATAATTGTCTTTGTTATTCTTCTAACAGCCTCTACCTCGAAATTAGAATGAAAATCGAATTTTTTAATTTTATTTTTAATACTGTCTTCCGACAAGTCTGTATCTATATCGCGGATTACACCCTGTCTTACCAACAAGAATTTTGGTATATATGCCTCCATATTATATGTGCCTAAAGTTTTGGAGTTGGCTAATTTGTTTGCCGAAAGGCCATCTTTGAAAATCACTTTTACCCTATTTCGTCCTATTGACTCAATTTCCCTAATTTTATTATCTAGCTCAGGGTGGATTGAAAAAATTATATCGTTTACCTTTATTGCATTTAACTTACCCTTAAATTCTGGTGAATTATTTTCTACGTACACTTGATACGGACCTGTATCTTTATTATCATAAAAATATTTTATTTTTGGATTTTTTGTTGTTATACTCATATCCTTGTTGTTCACACTTTCAATATCCATACCTATACCTGAAATTGACCCTGTAGGGTCTAACGGGGGGCTTGCACCCCCGCTATTAACGCTCATAATAATTGCTAAACTACAACTTTAGTTTGTTGTTCATTTACGCTTTATCACAAACACCTTCTTCCACGCACTACGACCTCGGTTTTAACGCAAAAAAATAAAATCCGATAAGAACACCGACCTACCGCTAGGCTAGCCCGATATGTACTGCTGTATTCTACGTAAAAAAGACGTATTTTTCCTTTTTGCACTTTTTCTATATCTCCGTATGGTAAGAAGTTATAGAGGATTATAAAAAACAGCTGATTTTGAAAAACACCCTGTACCTCGCAAACCAAACTTGTTGGCCAAGATCTGACTACACCATCAAATGACACACTAAAAAAGAGGACGGGAAGCGTATATCAGTTTCTCAGTATCTTCGGCCATTTTGGCTGTACCCTATCAAACTATCGAAAATCAACTACCCTGTACAATGTTGTCACGTTGTTAACATTTTTCTAATACCTGATACACCCTGTAGATTTTATCGTATTCTGTGCCTACCTATTTGCTCTTTGAATTTTATTGCACTGTCTTCCTATAGTAGTTTTCGTTTTTCTCTGTTCCTTTTCGTCACCTTTTTTATTCAAATTTTGTTTTCTTTTCCTTGATCAATATGTCAGATACAAAAGCTAAGAAGGCGAAAAGTCTCCGACAGAGTGAAATAAGTCGAATGGCAGAGCTACTTCTAACAGCACAGCAGGCGGTAAATGATCCAGCTAGTCGTGATTCTTTACAGTTGCGTTATGGAGATGTCGAAAGAATAAGAGATGATTTTTTCAAACATCATAATATTGTAATTGGGAGTATTGATGATGAGCAGGAAGAAGATGAGTTCAAAACTCAAGATCAAATTCGAACCCAATTTGAAAGTAACTATTGGTTTATCAAAACCACTTATTTTCAAGTAGTTGACCCACTTTCAAGGCCTTCCAGCTCTAGAAGTCCTTCCTCGTCGGGAAAAAGTAATCTGAATGTGACGTTGCCAAAAATTGAAATTCCTTGTTTTTCAGGAAATGTTACCCAATTTTCAACCTTTAAAGACATGTTTGGTGCTTTAATTCATACGCATAGCGCACTAAGCAATATAGAAAAATTTAATTACCTACTTAGTTTTCTCCGGGGACAACCCTTAGCTTTGATTCAAAAATTGCCAATGACAGATTTGAATTATCCTATTGCTTATGACACTTTGGTAAAAAGGTTTCAGAATCCTCGTTTAGTTGCCGCTACCCATTGGTCTTGTATTGAAAATGTACCTAAGCTTACAAGTGACAACCCTATTGAGTTACGCCAATTATTGGATACTTTTGATGATAATTTAGCCGCTCTTCGCAATTTGTATTTGCCAGTTGATGCTTGGGATTTCATCTTAGTCCAAATGCTGCTTAAACGCATAGATATTTCAATAGCTACTAAGTTTGAATTGCAGCATGATTCTCATGCAACCCCTACCTACTCACAATTGAGTACCTATCTAGGTAAACATTGTTTGGCTTTAGACAATGTTTCTTCTAGCCAGTTTTGTGTAAAAGACAAGAAAACTGCTAAAAGGAAAGATAACAAATCTTCTCTTTCATCCCCTAAATTTAGTCTTTTGGCTGGTGCACAATCCAACTCTGGAGTTCAAACTTGCCCTGTGTGTAAGAATAAACATGCCATATATAGATGTCGTACTTTTTTGGAAAAAACCCGGCAGGACCGTTATCAATTAGTTCGCTCTCTCCGCATTTGTCTGAATTGTCTTAGCAATTCTCATCCTATTAGGGATTGTAAATCGCCTCATGTTTGCTTCAAATGTAAACAAAAACATCATACTCTGTTGCATTTTGAACGCGCTGAGAACAAACCTGGACCTAGTAATGCTGCAACGCCTGGTTCAAGTATCACCCCGGCGGATCAGATTCTGCAAAACTCGGACAGTTCTCCACATTTAGCTGCTAATGGAATTTTGCAAAAAAAATTCAATATTCTCTTATCCACCGCCATTGTGGAAGTATTAGACGGTACAGGCCAGTTTCAAAAAATTCGCATACTTTTGGATTCCGGCTCCCAGTTGCACTTTATCTCTCAAGACTGTGTAAGGCGCTTAGGCTTATCGTCCTACGATACTGCGTATTCTGTTCAAGGATTGGGTCAAGCAGCAATTTCCAAATGCCCGAAGGGCATATTCACCAAACTTCGTCCTTCTATGAAAGTTTCGCCTGTTTTCGATGTCGAAGCTGTTGTACTACCCAAAGTTTTCGGCGACCAGCCTAATGGTACTGTTTCCGTACAAGCCTGGCCGCATTTACCTACTCATCTATTGGCTGATCCCTTCTATAATAGTCCTGGTCCCATTGATATGCTCATTGGAGCTCCCCTATTCCCGTATATTTTACAGGATGGTCGCCTTACTGGTGGTGTCAATGAACCTGTAGCACTTAATACGATATTTGGATGTATACTTATGGGAAAGACAACCTCAACCTCTACCTCCTTGTTTTCTCAATCTCATCTGTGTCTCCATTCTTCCCTTGAAGAAACAGTCCAGAAATTTTGGGAGATGGAAGAGGTACCTCACGTAAAGGTGTTGTCTCCTGACGATGCTAAATGTGAACAAATATTTGCAGACACTTCGTATAGAAACCCCTCTGGTAGATATGTAGTATCACTTCCTTTTAAAGGGCCAAGCCCGATCTTTCCAAAGAGTAGAGATTTAGCGCTGCATAATTTTCTGTCCTTAGAACGCCGTTTAGAAAAAAATGTGCCTCTTTATGCTGTGTATTCTGATTTCATCAAGGATTATATCGAATTGGGACATATGGAACTTATTTCCTCTGATATCCTACCAACCCATCATTTTTATATACCCCATCACTGTGTTATAAAACCTAATAGCCCTACAACCAAACTTCGGGTTGTATTCAATGCTTCCGCCAAATTTGTCGGACAGGAATCACTCAATTACTGTCTATTTTCTGGCACCAAGCTTCAAACAGATATAGTTCGCCTTCTTTTGTGTTTTAGGATTCATTGATTCGTATTCACTGCTGATATTCGTCAAATGTTTCGACAAATTTTAGTAGATTCGCAGCACGTTGATTATCAAAGAATCCTTTGGAGATTTTCTAAGACCGACCCTATAGCCGATTATCGTCTTCTCACCGTCACTTATGGACTTACTTGTGCTCCTTATCTGGCCATAAAATCGCTACTCACGCTGGCTGAAATAGAAAAGGAGAATTATCCAGCAGCCGCGAATGTGATTTTAAATTCTTCCTATGTGGATGACCTAACTGGAGGTTCTTCTACGATCGAGGACGCCAGAGAGCTGCAAAAGAATTTGATCTCGTTGCTCTCCAAAGGCGGTTTCGAGTTGCGTAAGTGGTGCAGCAATGACCCCCGTTTATTAACTGATTTTCCTCCTTCGCACCCCTATAGCGAGGATTTATCTCTTAATTTTGACTCAGATAGCCCCCTTAAGATTCTGGGTTTGCAATGGAACCATGCTTCTGATACGTTTGACTTTTGCGTCAACCCTATGGAAAAGGGTTGTACAAAACGTATTTTGTTGTCAAATTTAGCAAAAATATTTGATCCCCTTGGGATCTTATCCCCTGTAACTATTTTTGTTAAGCATCTTATTCAAAGATTATGGTATCAAAAGTTGGATTGGGATGCAACCCCAACTAATGACATAGTGCGTCTCTGGGATCAATATACCAATACAGTATCGTCTTTGTCAGATTGCAAAATAGCTCGTTACCTTTTCCCCCAACCCTATGATAATCTTGAGCTTCACGGGTTCTGCGATAGTTCGGAGAAGGGATATTGTGCACTTATTTTTCTTTGTGCTGTGCTTCCTGATGATAAAGTTACCACTCATTTTGTTTGTGCCAAGTCTAAAGTTGCGCCGCTTAAAACTATCTCCATTCCTCGCTTGGAGCTATGTGCCGCAGTTTTATTGTCTCGTTTGTTATCTTATGTGCTTGGCGTATATCAACCTGAGTTTCCTATTAACAAAGTTTTCGCCTGGAGTGACTCTACTATAACGCTTTGGATCCACTCTTCGCCCCATCGCTGGAATACTTTTGTAAGTATCCGCGTTGCCTTTATTCAAAGGGAACTTCCTTCTATTTCTTGGTACCACGTTGCTTCCGAGAATAATCCTGCGGACGTGGGTTCAATAGGCCTTCTTCCTAGTGAGTTAGCCCAATGCTCTTTATGGTGGGCGGGCCCAACTTTCTTAAATAGTTCTAACCGCAATTGGTCTCCTTTTTCCCGTGACTCTACCCCTGAAGCAATTCCGGAGGAGAAAAAAACTTGTTTAGTTTGTCCAGAGCTTTCTGTGGAGTTTTTTTGACCTTCTTATCTCCAAATATTCCTCATTGAACAAATTGCAACGAGTATTTGCTCATGTGCTTAAATTCAAGCATAACTTATGCTTTCCTGCTGCTCTGCGAGAAGGTACTTTAACTAGTCTAGAAATGCATACTGCTCTTTTAATTCTTGTTAGATATGTTCAGTCTGTTGTTTTCGTTACGGACATTGCTCTTATCTCTAGGAATGAACTGCCTTCTAAACCTCTTAGAAAGTTGACCCCTTTTATAGATAGCGAAAATGTGTTACGTGTAGGTAGTCGGTTAAAGCATTCTTCCCTCAGTTTTGATAGAAAATTTTTCGCTATTCTTCCCAGCGATCACATTTTGACTCGACTGATAATTACTTATTTTCATTTGAAATATTTCCATGCTGGAGTACAGAGCGTTCAATACGTGATTGGCCAACAGTTCTGGATTATTGCTTCTAAGCGAGTCATTCGTAGTGTGATATCCAAATGTATTGTCTGTTATAGACTAAATCCCCGACCATTACAACCCCCAATGGGCGATCTTCCTCTCGCTCGCGTTTCACAAGACAAACCCTTTTCTCACACTGCCGGCCCCTTTAAAGTACTTATGTCTCGCCATCGTGGTTCTCGTACAAGCAAAGCATATTTGTGTTTATTTGTTTGTGCTGCTACCAAAGCCCTCCATTTGGAGCTTGCTTCCGATCTATCTGCCGATGCTTTCTTAGCGGCTTTGCGTAGATTTATCGCTCGCAGAGGACGTTGTCATCATCTTTTTTCAGATTGTGGATCCAATTTTGTTAGTGCTGCTAAGCAGCTGAATGGATTTATGTCGGCGTCAGCTTCACTCGAGGGTATAGAGTGGCGTTTTAATCCTCCCTCTGCCCCACACTTCGGCGTCAAAACGCATCTTTATAGAGTAGTTGGCAATCAAAATTTGACCTATGAGGAGTTAAATACACTTTTAATTCAAATAGAAGCATTTCTCAACTCCCGACCCCTTACTCCTTTTAGTAACGATCCGCATGACTTGACAGCACTCACCCCAGGCCATTTTTTGACATTGGAAGCCTTGACCGTGCCTCCTGAACATAATTTAACCTGTGTTCCAATTGATCGCTTAGACCGTTGGCAATTATTGACCCGAATGCATCAGGATTTTTGGCGTCGTTGGTCACATGAGTACCTTCACACGTTGCATCAACGTTCTAAGTGGCATAAAGGCCCCACTTCCATAAACCCTGGAACCCTTGTTCTGATCAAAAACGACTTGATGCCTCCTATGCGGTGGCATATGGGCCGTATAATAGAGGTACATCCGGGCGCCGACGGAGTTGTTCGCGTGGCCACCGTTCGTACGACTAGTGGTTTACTTAAGCGACCTGTGGTGAAGCTCTGTCCTTTACCACTTCATAACTAAGTAATTACTGAAAATGCATTGCATTTTGGTGGGCGGCAGGTTCTGTTTTCATTTAAAATAATATGTTTAATCAATCACATTTAACTCTCTTCTTTTCTTGGCTCACTGTGTATCATTATTCA